CCCTCCCCCTCCTCCTCCTCCTCCTCCCTCCGCCCTCCGCCCTGCTCCCTCCTCCCTCCCACTGAGGATCAATCCCTGGCCCTCCTTCTCATCACCATGATGATGAGAGGGAGAAAGACACATATTATCTGCCGTCGTCCTTCTCCCTCATCCTTCTGGTTCGATCTCCTTCACCTCTCCCTTCCTCTCCTTCTCCATTCCTTTCTTGTAGACAGCGCCTCCCTGTAGCACCCCGAAGCGTGTCGGTAGGGCAGGCCGGGCATGTTGCCTGAGACTTCCTCGCCATGTGTGATCCTTAAGCTGAGAAGTTGTATTTTTTTCACGGATGGAGGGCGTGCCGCTGTCGAAACGTGCCTGTCGCCTGAGCGCCGCGAACATTCGTATTAAACATGTGCAAGAGCTTCACGGATGGAGGGCGGCTCATTTTCAATATGTGGCTCTCGCATTAGCGATGCGCATATTCGCACGTTTGATACAACATTGCAAAACAGTTTCACGGATGTAGGGCGGAGCCCTTTCAACGTGTGGCTCCCGCCTTAGCGCCGCACAAGCATATTGCAAGTGCTTCAAGGATGGAGGACGGTTCCTTTTCAAAATGTGGCTCTCGCCTCAGCGCCGCGCACATTCGCTTCAAGAGTTCACAACGGTGTCAAGGATTATCATTGTTAACGTCCCCGATCTGATGCTTTTGCACGATGTTGGACTGTCGGGGCGCTACACGTATGTTGATTCGCTGGGTAGAAATCCGATGGATGGCGTTCTGGTACGATTCAGGACCGTCAAGACGCAACAGTTACGGTTTTTTCTTGCGGCGTTGGAATCCCAGGAATGGTGTCCTGGCACCGTTCAGGATTTTCAAATGTTTGTCTTCCAATGGGACACTTCCCTCAGTGAGAATGAACCCTTGTGGTGGCCTGTGAAGAGGGAACTGGGAGGGAGAGCTTATTGCAATATCGTTGATGGTCTTCGGTGTGCACTGGTCTTCCTCCTTCACCTCTTCCTCCTTTCCTTCCTCCTCCTCCTTCCTCCTCTTCCTCCTCCTCCTCATCCTTCCTCCTTTTCCCTTTCCTCCTCCTCCTTCCTCCTTTTTCTCATTTTCTCCTCCTCCTCCTCCTCCTCCTCCTCCTCCTCCTCCTCCTCCCATCCCCCGTCCACCTCACCCCCCTTCTTCCTCCCTGGGGGGTCCCGTGCTGGCCGGCTCGCTCTGGACCGCGCCCACCAGCGCGGCCACGAGGGCGCCCCCAGCGACCCCCCCAAGGGCCACAAAAAGTCGCAGGAGCGCTCGGTCCTCTAGGAGGCCACGCGCGTGGGCCGGGTGGGGCGCAAGCGCAGGATAACAAGGGGCAGGGTCGAGAAGCAGCTCGCGGGACGCTGGCGGATTTTCCTGGCGCGTCCTGGCGCTGGGAGGCGCCCGTGCACCGAGGACTGGGCCCGGCGGCGGGGCCGAAACCAGAGCTGCATGCAGCAGATTTCGCCCCCCTCCCCCCCCCCCCCCACCCATCCCCCCCTTCCCGATCCCCCCCTTCCGTTCGGCCCGAGCGTAGAAGAAGAAACAACGGCATAGACGTAAACTTTTGGCGCTCCGCGCGGAGTTCTTGGATCCGCGCTGGGCCTCTCTCCCTGGCGCGCGGAGCGCGCCAGGGGCGGCGCCAGAGGCGCCGCAGGGGCCAAGAATTCCGCGCGGAGCGCCAAAAGTTTATGTTTATAGCGTTTTTTCGACTACCCTAATCCCCCCCGTCCGTTCGGCCCGGGGGAGGGGGAGGAGAGGGGAGGGGGAGGGGAGGAGGAGGAGGAGGAGGGAGGAGGAGGAGGGAGGAGGAGGAGGGGGGAGGAGGAGGAGGGAGGAGGGAGGAGGAGGAGGAGGCGGGGGAGGAGGAGGAAGAGGAAGAGGAGGAGGAGGAGGAGGAGGAGGAGGAGGAGGAGAAGAAGGAGGAGGAGCAGGAGGAGGAGCCCCCCCCCCTTCCGATCGGCCCGAGAGGGGCGGGAGGCCTTGCCGCACGAGTTCGCCATCCTGGCGATCCGGCGCTTGCGGAAGCGGGTGCCGCCGTCGCACGACACGGAGCAGGGCGTCCAGGCCTGCGGCTGCTGCTCTCTCGGGCGTCGTCGTCGTCGCCGCCGTCGTCGTCGCCGGCGTCGTTGTCTTCGTCGTAATGGTGGCCGTCGTCGTCGTGGTCGTCGTCGTTCGTGTCACACTACGCCGTCAGCACCACCAGCATCAGGACGCGCGGGAGCCAAGGGTCCTGTAGTGCTCTGCAGTTGCGGACGAGGGGAGAGAGGGGAACGAAGAGCGAGGGAAGCGCGAGAGGCACACGCGGGGGCATGTACGATTAGACGGTCCCCCTTGGGGGCGCTGGGCTTTTAGGGTGGTTGCCGTACTGTTGTCCTGTTGTCTTTGCTGGATTTGTGTATGCACCCAGACATGATCGCGTCGTTAAAAAAATCAGGACGGGTGGTTTATAACTATTTTCGGCACAAGGCGGCCCTCGCCGGGCCTCGGGACCGTCAAAAAACGATTCAGGATGAAGAACTGGCCCCAGGAAAAGGGTCTAGTCTTCCTGAGACGCCGTCCTGAAAAAATCAGGACGTCGCATGTCTGGGTATGTATGTATAAATAAAAATATTACACATGCATATCCGCCGATCCGGCGTGTGAGGTTCACAAGCCCTAAGCTAAAGCCTGGAGCCTGAGCTCAAGCTCTGCTGGGGGAGTGGTGCCGGGGGTGGCTCTGCCGGAGAAGGGGGGGGCCCCCCCTGCTGCGCCTGTGGGACCTCAGGGACTTTTATTAGGCAATTTTGGGTCCCTCTGGGCCCTCAGGGACCTTTCTTGGGCCGTTTTGGGGCTCTCTTGGGCCGTTTCGGAAGTCTTTTGGACCGTCTTGGGGCCATCTTGGAGACTTCTTGGAGCGCTTTCTGGCTGTTTGGGGGGCTCGCGGGACCCTCCGAGAAGCGATCCTGGACCCGCTCAGGCGATGAAGGACGGTCGGGGGGGGGGCTCCCGGAGAAACACATTCGGATGTATCCCAGCTGGGACCCAGGGCCGAATTCATGCACAAGGGAGGGGTTTCCGCTAAAAGAACTGTCGAAGAAGAAACTATGTGTATATATATATATATACATTAAAAATTAACAGAAAACATATGGGTGATTCCGGAAACCCTGAACCCAAAGACGTGGTCATTCCTTTGGGGAACATCTTTTACGTCCGCCGCCTTCCGCCGCCCTTCCGCCGGCTTCCGCCCGTGGAGGCGGCCTTGTTTTACTTCCGCCGCCCTTGCGCGGCGGAAGAGATTTCAACTCCTTCGATCCTCGACGGCAAGGCACTTTCTGGAACGCCTCATATACATACATCTACATACACATATCGTCTCTTGTCTCTCCAGGCTTGGCGAGGGAGCCCTCGAATCCCTGGCTAACTTCGGGACGCACCACGACTCCGAAATCCAGGGATATGCCACCGCCAGGCCAGGAGGGCCCATGCGGCCTCTCATACGCCCCAGGAGGACGTTGGGAATTGACGGATCCTACATCGTTGTTGGAATACATGTGCACGTTCGTCCCGCGTCTTGGATAAGAGATCTTCGAGGGAGTGGCCCAGCAATCGTGCATATGCGTGAACCCTTGGAGCACCATGGCGTATGTACAAGAAGCTATATGCCTGGCAATCTTCTCTTGCCAGTTTTAAAGCCAAGGATCCGAGGACATGTGCTTGGGTGGCGTCATCTTGAGATCAAAGGAGGTACGGGCGGGGAAACACCACTTCTGCTTCCAAGACACTGTTGAGGTGGAGATGGGGGGAATCAATTGCTGAAACTGCCCCTTCCAAACTCCGCGCCATGTTCATGGACCTTTTTCCATGTGGGCACTAACAACGAATGCCGTCATTCGTCCTGTACCCGCCATCTCCCCGACGCCAACATAACAAATTCACGCCTGGGCCAAAAGTGGAAACCGCTTGCGCGATCTACACAACGCAGCAGGTTGCCCCATCACTCCTCCGGGAGCGCGCCTGCCAGTCCTCCCAGGCGCCGTCCACGCAATTTCCCTGGCACTTCTCGGTACCGCACGCCCCGATCTCCTCGCGGGGCCTGGCCTGCAGGGCGGGCGCTGCTGATCACCCCCGCTGATCAGCCCTCCTCCCTGTTTCGCGTTCCTCTGCGTCCTTGCGCTCCGTTACCCTCCCTGTTTACCGCTCATCCTGCTTCTCGCCCTCCTGCTCCTTCTCACCATTCGCCTCCTCCGCCTCGCCTCGCCCTTTCCTCCGCCCCGTGCCACTACCTCCTCTTCGTCCTCCTCCTCCTCCTCCTCCTCCTCCTCCTCCTCCCTCTCCTCCTCCTGTACCTCCTCCTCCTCTCCTCCTCCTCCTCCTTCCTCCTCCTCCTCCTCCTCCCCCTTCCTCTTCCTCGTCGTCCTCCTCCTCCTCGTGTACCTCCTCCTCCTCCTCCTCCTCCTTTTCGTCCTCCTCCTCCTCCTCCTCCTCCTCCGCCTGCCCCCCCGTGCCGACGCCATTCGATACTGGGCCAGGGGAAAATCCGAAGCTCCGCACGGGGCGCCACTAAGAGTTCCGTCCTCTTAATGGCAGCCTTTTAGCCAGTGAGTGGCCAGGCGACAGCGAACCAGTCGCCGCAAGGACACAGCCTGGCGGCAAGGCCAGTGGTCCTGCACACTCATTTCTCCCTGGCTCTCGCACCTCGTTTCCCGTGGGCGCTTCGCTTGCATTTGCTGAGTCTGCACGCCTGGCCCCGTCGCGAGGCAGATGCCTCAAGGACGGTGCCTGGCGGCAAGTCCAACTGCCCTGCACACTCACACGTCGGACCGTTACCAAGGCTCGTCTTTGAGGCACTGGCTGGCGGCAGTGCGAACCATCGTGTGTCCGCATACTACGCACGCTTACCCCCGTCGCGAGGGTGCTGCCTCAAAGACACAGGCCGGCGGCAAGTCTGGCGGCCCTGCACACTACTCCGTTTCCTGTGGGCACTGCCTGCCGGCAGCGCGAATTGCGTGCATGTGCTGAATCTGCACGCCTGCCCCCGACGCGAGGCAGATGCCTCAAGGACGGTGCCCGGCGGCGCGGCCGGGCCTGCACACTCTCACGTCAAACGGTAACCATGGTCCGTCATCATTGAAACAGCGGCAGTGCGAGCCATCGTGCGTCCGCTGATTCTGCACGGTTAACACCGTCGCGGAATTGCCTCAAGGACGTGGGCCTGCGGCAAGACTGGCGGCCCAACACATCTCGCACGTGGCACCGATAACCAAGGTTGTCTCAGTTTGAACACTTGCTGGCCGCAGTGCCAGATTTCGTGCATCCAAAGACACAGCCTGGAGGAAAGTCTGGCGGGGCCTGAAGGAACGTCCGGCGGCCCCCTCCTTTGTGGCAGTTCCAGACCCTGGTGGCGGCTCGTGTGTGTATAGGGAGACGGCCGAAGGGCCGTTCCTATACAGGGTTCCTTGGTAGAGGCAAGGAGGAGGAAGACTCCTTTTTCCATGGCACTGCACAGGGGGCAGTGCTTTGTCAGTAGTAATGCCAATACTTGAGCCGATACAATTGCGGTATGTGATGATAGAATGGGGATATGAGCGGACTTCACACACACACAGTTCGGAACCGCCGCCCAGATTCGCCTCTTTTTGGAAGCAGGCTGGCGGCAATGCCAGCCTCCCGCAGATCATGCACACCCACAGCGAGGCTGTTGCCTCCAGGGCGCTGCCTCGCGGCGAGGCTGGCAGTCCTGCGCGCCCTCGTGTCTCCCCAGTCCGGCGGCAGGGCCGGCGGCCTTGCACGCTCTTAACGGCCCTGTCCTCACACGCGTCTCCGTTGGGTTGGGCGCTGCCGGGCGGCAGCGCCAGCTTGCGTGCATTAGCAGATCCTGCGCGTTTGCCCCCGTCGCGAGGCAAATGCCTCAAGAACGCTTCCCGGCGGCAAGGCCAGCGGCCCAGAGGCTCACCAACGTTACTTTTTAACAATGGATGTTGTGCAACATGTTCATACACCGGTAAACTTGCAGCATTTTGGTCATCCGCCGGTAAAATGTAACAGTGGATGCTGTCACCCACCGGTAATTCAACCACATCCACCAGAAAACCAACATCCACTGGTATTCCAGCATCCACCGGTAATCCATCAACGCATCCCTTGGTCATGTTACGGTCAATATTAAACATGATTTACTTCACGCGCGTTTTTCTATCATGCACCCACGACATCACCGTCGCCGTCTTTCACGCACAACCATGAGTGCGTCAAGGTGCACGCGGGCGCTCGTGCACACAAGCATACATGTCAATGCGCGGCCACGCCCGCGCCAGGCACCCATGGACATGAGACCACGCACGTTCGCGCATCCGGCCATAGACGACAATTTCTGCCACCGCGTCAGGGCACGGTGGCAGGAATTGCCGCTGCTGGCTGGATGAACAACCTTGCGTAATCACATGTCCGCGGGTGCCTAACACGGGCGAGGCCACGCAATGGCATTTATGTGTATGTGCAGGCGCGCGCGTGCTTTGGCGTCGCCGACAGCATACACCGGTGAAATTGACATCCACCGGAAGCCTAAGTACATCCACCGGCATTCATGTTTAACAGTGAATGCGTTTTCCTCATTTCAGCTCATGCACCAGTAAATGGCCGACATCCGCCGGTAAAACCAACATCCACTGGTAAACAGGCCGACGCGAGCGCAACGTTATTTAAAAGTAACAGTGAAGAGCCTCAACCGCTATTATTGGATGCTGTCTGGCGGCAGTGCCCACTTGTCCCCGTCGCGAAGCAAGTGCCTCAAGGAAGTCGCCTGGCGGCAATGACGGCAGTCATGCACGCTCTCACGTCGAACCGCTACCAAGTGCCGCTACCATTGAGCAGCGACCGACCGTCCCGGCATTCCGATAGGCCTACGACGAAACATTTTCAGAACCCAAACACGTTCACATAACAAAAACACTGCTCTTAAAATATCGCCCCGATGTGTTCAAACAAGACGCTATCAGCCAAACGAGTTGTAGGAACCTTTCGTGAAGACTACAATCGGTTTTAGAACATTGTGTTGTGGGCCTATAGGCAAGCCAGGACGCTTCGCGACTGCTCGATACCAAGGTTCGCCTCCTTTTGGACACTGGATGGCGGCAGTGCCAGCTATCGTGCATCTGCAGATTCTGCGATTTTGCCCTCGTCGCCAGGCAATCGCCTCAAGGACACAGCCCGGCGACAAGGGCGGTCCTGCTCACTTATGTCTCCTTGGTTCTCACACTTCGGTTAAGAGGTCACGGACCCCGACTGGGGACAGAGAGGCCCCCAGAAAGATATTCAGATGGCCATGGTCATCTGGTTATCTTTTCGGTGCTCTCTTGGGGGCCTCTCGGGGCACCTGGGGGGACCTCTCGGTGCTCGCTCGGGGTCTATTTTGGATTCCGAACGGACTCCAAGATGCCCCCGATAAGACATTCAGATGGCCAAGGGCACCTGAAGATCTTTTCGGGGCCCTCTTGAGGTCCTCTGGGGGGCCTCATGGTGCTCGCTCGGGGCCGCTAACGACGACGGGTGACTAGATTGCTGACGCAGGTCCGAACTACGTTCGCGATTGAGTTGTTGGCACGCGGTGGTCGGGGGACAGATGGTAACAGAAAGCTGGTGGCCGCCGACACCGCAGGAATTGAGCAGGGGCCGTCCCGGCATTCCTATAGTCTTACCACGAAATGTTCTCAGAAGCCCAAAATGCTCGAATAACAAAAACAATGTTCTTGGAACATAGACACGACGTGTTAAAACAAGACAATCTCAACCAGACATGTTCTCAGAACACTTCGTGGAAACCACAAAAGGTTCTTAGAAAATGGTTTGGTAGGGCTATCGGCGAGCCAGGACGCTTCGCCACTGCTTGAAGGCAGGCGTTCCTCCCCGCGGTTGAGCAGGCCCACGTGTCCCCCCTGAGGGATCGAGCCGTCCCGCCACTGCGGCCCCCAGCGAGCGCTCCTGGGGCCCTCTCGAGCAAGGCTGGGGAGCCAGCGCTTGACGTGATCGTCCTCTGCACAGGCGGTGGGACATGCAACATGACGTGCTACCTGTACGGCACATGGCGATATGGGCCACCAAACCTGAGATGCCGTACAGAGGTGGCCTGTGGCTACAATGTCCACATAAACCATCCACCTACACCCTGGTTGCACCCTGCCGCACGGGCACGCACGCTCATTCAACGCTGCGTAGTCTGAGTGCCCCCCACTCATTTCCTTGGCGTCCTCGCTCCGCCGTCTACTCCACGCCGGCAGGAGGTGAGGAAGCCATAGCCTCTCAAACGCAACCGCCTCCAGCGTGTGCAGATACGCTCCAATTTCTCTTGCACGCAGGCTGAGCAAGGATCGACGTGTATCACAACGGAGGTGGCTGACTAGTGGTACGTTGACACTCATATCACATGCCTGCAAGGGTCCTTGTACCTTGGAGCACCGTTCCAAGGGTGGGTGAGCCCTTGTGCACCATCCGACTTTCCAGGATTATACCTACGCTCAAGGGCATGACGCTAGACTACAATCCTCCTCCTCCTCCTTTCCTCCCCGCGGACTCCTCCCCCCTTATTCCCCTCTTCCCTCTACTGACATTCCTCTCCCCCTCTCCACCCACCACATCGTTCTCACTCTTTCTCGTCACTACCATCCTACTCATCGACCTCTTCCTGTTTCACATCCTCATCTTCCTCGCTTTCAAGCTGGTGATGCATCTGCGCATCCACACCCTTCTCATCCCCGCCCGCTCACCCTACACCTACAACACACAAACTAGTCGGGCTCAACCTGTTACCGAACTGAGCGAGCACCGTTTTTCCCGTTCCCCCCCCCCCACCCACACAAGGCTTGTCGCCCCCGATTGCAGCAACCCTGAGCGTATTGCTATACACCCGCACTCTTGACACCAACCGAACGATTAATCTTCGACGTCATAAAATCCACCTTCTCACCATCCCCTTCACCTCACCCTCGTCGATCTGCCCACTGCGCACTGAATTATTTCGCTGTACCTGTCGGTGCCCTTCCGTCTTCTTCTTGTGGACCATCGCACTGGTCACAGCGGACAGTGGAAACAGGCGCGTAGCGGGGCTTGTAGGTAGAACGAGCATGGCAGTGGCACTGGCTAGCCAGTCAAGTCTCGCCCAATAACGGCGAATGGAAAACACATGCAGCACGCAATCATCCGTGGCAGCTCTCCGAAGCTCCACTTCTTTTTCGAAACGTAGGCTGCAATACTCGTGCCCCCGTGAAACCTACCACCGACGTTACCTCTCGCCCCCCTCCTTGTTCCCGTCTTCCACTTCTCTCCTTCTTCATCCCCGACGCCCCCTTGGACCGCAACCATTCCCACTTCCCCGTGAATAAATATCCCAAACCACGCCGCCCTGCCCGCTTGTCGAACACAAATTTACTCTGGCAACGGATCGTCCTTCCAATTCCGGGCAGGACAGGAGAACGAGGCCGGGAAGCAGGAGCGCACAGGCGCACGAGGAGTCACCGGCAGGACACCGGAGGACGTCGGCGCACCCAAGAGGACTGCAGCCGTAGGCCAAGACGAATCCTCATCCTCCACTCCTCGTTCCTTCCAGCTGGATTCGACTTTTTCGTGACGTCGACCCCCAAGGGTCTCCACCCATTCCCCGGGACTGGCTTTCCGTTCTTCTAAATAGTTGCTTGACGGTGCCGACGCCCAGTAAGGGCCCCCAGAGGCAAAACCTCTGGTCGTGTTTTTGTTCCTTTCCTGTCGAGGCAAAATCCTGGTTTTTTGAGAGTCCTTGTCTCAAGGGCCCTTACTTTCTCCTGCTCCTGCTCCTCCGGCTCCCGATCCTGGCCCTGCCATTCTTCGACCCCCTCGCTGTCTTCACGCTACAGCTGCTGGAAATCATCCTGATCGTCCTCCTGCAAGGACGAAGCCAGGGCCAGGAGAAATTCGAGGGAGGATAAATCGAGAATCTTTGAGATCCGGCGGCTCTGGAGGATGTATCGGGAGTCGCGGCCTTCGCAAAGCGTTCCAAAACGCTCTGAGAGCGTTCAGGAACGCTCTGAAACAGATTTGTCCTCGCCCTACCCCGCCTGATTATGATCGTCCTCCTGGTACCTCCTCCTCCTCCTCCTCCTCCTGCTCCTCCGCTTCCTCTCTATTGCTCCAGGATCAAAAGGCTCGTTCCCCCAACACTCACGAGCACCGCCATGAGGGATGGGAGAGACCATGCGCCCCTCCCGAGTCAACAGGGCGATGCTGGCCTCAGAGGCATCGGTAACATTACTACAGTCCTCCTGCTCTCCATCCCAGTACTGCTTCGGCTCGCACCTCCCCAACCCAGACATGCCACGTCCTGATTTTTGTTTAGGACGGCGTCCCGGGAGTCCAGACCCTTTCCCCGGGGCCATTTTTTTTCATCCTGAGTCGTTTTGTTGACGGTCCCGAGGGCCGGCGAGGGCCCCCAAAGGCCGAAAATTGCAAAACACCTCCCGTCATGATTTTTGTCATTGCCCGAGGGGGTCTGGGAACCCAGTCGACCTCCTCGCGCCTCCCCAACTCCTCCCCGCCATCCCCAGCTCAACCCCCTCCCTCCGCCCAAGGGCCTCTCCCGGTGGGGCGCCGCCCCGGCCAGAACCCCGAAGGGGGACCAAGCCGCGGAGACGAGAGATACCCCAGGAGCCTCTCGCCCCCACCGCCCCAAGGCAGCAGAGGAAGGAACCCAGAGATCCGACGCACTGAAAAGATCGAGGCGGAGGTTTTTCTCGCAAAGTTCGGCCCCCAGGGGCCCTCGCCGGGGCTCGGGACCGTCAAACAACGACTCAGGATGAAAAGCCGGTCGTGGGGAATGGGTCGAGACCTCCGGGGAGCCCGTATGGAAAAAATCACGACATCGGATCTCAGGGAGCACAGTCAACCCGTATCAGTAGGACGCGCGGTAAGGATGCAAGGGCCCTGGAGGGCCATCCAAACGTTTTTCGAGCGAGGCTGGCCAGCGAAAGTCGCTAATTAGGGATGGACCGAGGGGGCAAGGATGCAAGGGTACCCTTGGAAGGTCGCTCATCCTCGCTACGCGGGTCGACTGCAGGTCAAGATCACTCCCTCCCTTCCTCGCCCCCGCCTGCTCTCCGCCCCAGACCTCCGAGGCATGTCTTCTCTTGCGCGGCGAGCCAGCGAGCAACACCATGAGTGGCCTCCTCCTCCTCCTCCTCCTCCTCCTCGAGGTCCTCTCCTCGTTCCCTGGCCGACCTCGCAGGGCTTGCCGCCAGGAGTGGGCATCTCCAGGATGTCGCGCGACCTCTTCCGAGCGCCGACGCCACGGCGGGCGGGCACCAGCAGGAGCAAAGAGCAGGCGCGGAGAGCGTGGCCGGGGTAGGGATGCTGATTGGGAGGGGAGCGGGCGAAACGGGAGCAGTTCGGCGGTGGACAAACCTCCCCTTAATAAACCCACCCTCAATGAGAACGGCCTGGGAGCGAAACAGACGGACCTGGACCCGCAAAAATGACGGCCGCGACGCCCTCTCGCGAGCCGAGAACGGCCAATTCGCGAATCGACGTGTCAGGGTAGGAGGTCTGTCCACCCACGAGCAGTAGCCGAAGGAACGGACCAAGAGCGCCGGAAAAGCGAAAGGCTGTCGCATCAGGGGGAGGGGCAGCATTGCCGGGAGCATGAGGAGGCGGAAGCGAGCAGTGAGGGGAGGCTGAAGAACAAGATGAAGGAGGTGGGCATAGGGGGGGCGGTGGTTCGCTAGAGTTGCGTTGCTCCGATCGTACTTGAGGACCACATCCCGGAACTAACTTCGAGCACCCAGGGAAGCATCGAAGCAGTGTCGAACGAGTATCTCATCCCAGGGCCCGACGCGTGAAAGCCCTCAAGTCTCGGCACATTCTTGGTGCTCGACATTCTTCCCCTGGCGGTCAAGGCTAAAGTCCGTTGGCACATCATGACGCTCGAGAGGTCTTCGATCCCACCGCCCCTGCGAGTTATTCAGGGGCGCTTGGCGCGCCGAGCATCACAGTAGAGCGCTGTATCCCTTCCAAGCAAGATTAACAAAACGGGCCCCACACGGGCCTGGGACGGTGCACACGTCTCGCCTCTGTGGCCCAGTTGCTTCCAAAAGACGTTTCGGGACTGTCGCAGGTGGCATCTGGTACTCAGCGGACGAACATCTGTGTGATATCCGCTTTTCCGCCGTCGGGGACGCCTACCCCTGGGGCGGCAGGACAAATTTTTACCCCGACAGTAGCACGTCGGAGTATAAACTTTCCAGCCCTCCATGGACACGCGTTCCCCGTGGCGGACACGTGTGCTGTATTCTGTTCTTCGTCCCTACGAAGTGCGCCTAGAAAAGCTATTTTTCGTCTTCGAGCAAAGCCACCCTCCAATCCACGGTTTCCCCAGCTCGAACTCTCACAAAGCTTAGGTCGGGCACGTCCCCCACAGGCGGATCTTGGACGAAAAATGATAAAGTGCCCCAAACATGCTCCAAACAGATTCAAAAATAGTCAAAACATCGTCCCCAGACTATTGGTTTGAAAATTTTTGAACATTCCCCCTGTAGAGGGACAGGCCCGACTTAACAGTAAGCGGCGGGAAGGACAAAATCCCGACAGGAGGTTTTTCGCCGTTCTCGGCCTCTGGGGGCCCAGACCAAGCGTCGGGACAGTCAAACCACTACCCAGGACTAAAAACCGGTTCCGAGGAATGGGTCGAGACCTCTGGGGGTCGACATCATGAAAAACCTCTGCGGCGAGCGAGGGGGGAAAGTGAGGAGGAGGAGGCCTTCTCAGAAGAAGGCGAGACTTCTCAGAAGCCCTCGCGCCTTCTGATAAAATTTCGGTGTCTTCGGGGCCGGCTTAGGACACTTCCCATAAGGCCCGGGGACGCCCGAGCCTTGTGAGAGGGTCCGCCCCTTCTCACTTCCCCCCTGGCTCGCCGCCGATTTGTTTTTGTTTCAGGAAACACCAGAGGCCTATAAGTTCCGCTTCGGGCGATTAGCTTTCTAGTGCTAGAGGTGCAGCACTCTCACGGGATGCCCCGTCAAGGGTCATATTCTGCTCGGGAAGCACTGCGCTGGGGAAACCACAAGGTACTGACACCGCAACTCCCCGGGCCTCTCCCGGCGGGGTGCGTTCTGACCAGGGATCTCGAGGCGCATCCAGCGGTGGCGACGACGGCCTCCCAGGAGGCCCAACAGGGGGAACACGGGCGCGGGGGGTAAAGGTATAGGAGGGAGGAGGAGGGAGGAGGAGGAGGGAGGAGGAGAGAGGAGGAGGGGGAGGAGGGAGGAGGAGGGAGAAGGGCGGAGGAGGGAGGAGGAGGGTGCCGTTTCCTCCTCCGATGCCCGGCGACTCGAGAACAATGCGCCAGGCGCGACGGAGCGACGAACACGGAGCAGGGGCTGACGCGGGATGGCACGGAGGCCCTTCGCCGCGGCGCGGGCGGACAGCCGGCGCGGCGCGCCGCCCCGGAGACGCAGGCGCTGGCGCGCGACCCTGCGCGGGCAGCTCACGCGCCGCCGTCGGCGCAGTCGCGTTCCATCCCGTCGCTCGACCCGCCATCGCCCCGACGTGCACTCCCCGTGAGACGCTCTGGGATGCTCCCCGATGGTCTCCGCCGAGAGAGAAAGAAGAGCACACGCCCGGGCGGTGCCGATTCAACTGGGCGATTTCGGAACCCCTGAACCCCAAAACGTTTTCATCTCTTGGGGACACATGTTTTGCTTCCGCCGCCTTCCGCCGAGCTTCCGGAGGCGTCCACCGGCGGAGGCGGCCTCGCTTTGCCTCCGCCGACCCTCCGCCACATTCCGCCGAGGAAGAGATGACATCCCTCGGATCCTCCAGGGCAAGGCGCTTGCTGGAACGCCTCGTAACTGACTGCTGAAACTTTGGTGTCCGTTCCCTGGGAGCCTGCGTGGCCCCCGGCACTGTCCAATTTGGGCCTGATATGGACCGGATTTGGAACAAATTTGGACCGGATTTGGACCAGACTTGGACTGGATTCATGGGGGCTGCGTAAGAGAACGAGGAGGGGGAGGGGGAACAGGGGGGAAGAGGAGGAGCAGGAGGATGGGCCGAATGCGGTCCCCAGGCTGTCCACATGCAGGAAAGCTGATTTCAATGTCGCCGCCCAAGGCTCCCATGAACAGACATCGAATGAGACGTCCATCCCTCCGAGGCCTCTTCTTGGTGCCGCCGCCGCAGGAGGCGCTGCAGTCGCCCCAGTCCTCCCAGTCGCCCCACCTCGGCGGCGGCTTGCAGGGGGGCAAGCCCGCGCGCAGCCCCTCCGCCCGGCCCCGCTCTCTCCGCATGGGGGCGGGGGAGGAGGAGGGGGAGGGGGATGAGGAGGATGAGGAGGAGGAGGAGGAGGAGGAGAAGGAGGAGGAGGAGGAGGAGAAGGAGGAGGAGAAAAAAGAGGAGGAGGAGGAGGAGGAGGAAGAAGAAGAAGAAGAAGAAGAAGACTCGGCCTTGCGCTGCATGTCTGATGTCTCATGCCTGCTGCTGCTGATTCGATAATCTACAACAAAGAACCTCTGACAGTCGAACGAACGAGATAACACTCGAGGTCAGGGTAAAGCGCACCGTGCAGCCCAGCATTCGAACGAGTGCGAGACCGATCGCAAACAGTGAAACCCATGCGAGCGGGAGGCGAGCGACCTCTCGGGCTCCGCAGGAGCCGTACCTCCAGGACGGCGGGCCCCAGGATGGCCCCTGGAGCGCCCGAGCCCTCCCGAATTCGGGCCCACTCCCCAGCAGGCACACGACGGACGCGAGAGGAACGACGGGGCAAGAGAGGCGACAGAGAGGACGAGCAAGAACGAAGGAGGGGGCGAGGACAAAGCAGAGGGAGAGCGGGCAAGCAGCAAAGCAACGGAGGGGGGAGTGGGCCCACAAAATCAAAAAAACGCCACCGAGCCTCAGAAAGGAAACTACACGGAGGGAAGACCAGATGGAGGACGGTGGCGGCACGGTGCCTCGAAGTACGGCGAGGCGAGGCTCATCGGGCTCAGGGGGTGGCGACGACCCCGTCGAAGAAGAAGATTTGGACTATGAACGTGTTCACATTGAACGAGTTCACGAAATCAACATTGGTCAGGTATGTAGACGCCCATAGAGTACTCCACCCGTCAGGCCAAGTCACACCGTGAACTCAGAAGTAGTATGGAATAGGCGACGAGCGGCGCGGGCCTTCGAGGCAGCAAAACCTGACCCCCGCCCTGCCGCATAAGGTGGGCAAGAGCGAGCGAACTCCAGCCCAAGCCCCCTGGACAGGACGAAGGGCCAGTGGCGACTCAGAGCACACCCCACGGGTGGCGCGTTCTGACCAGCCCTGCCCACAATTATGAAGGCGCCCCCGAAGAGCACGCCGCCAGCTCTCTGATACGAATCCGTTCCCGTAGTGCCATCAGGCGAGACTCCCACGAGCTTTCCCGCGCTGATCCTTGGGCTTCGAGCGATCCAGAAGCTTCTGGGCCATCAGTTCCAGGTGGCCCACCGGTGCCGTGCCGAGCTTGAGACGACCGTCGAGGTGCACCAGCGCCTTGATCGTGGCCTGCTCCAGGGACAGCTTCGTCACGGCAGGCTGGTTCTCGCCCATCCCGATCTGGAAACCCTCCGCGATGCTGAACTGCAGGCGCACGAACTTCTCGTTGTAGCATTTCCTCACTCTGAAGTGGCGAATGACCAATCCCAACTCGTCCGTCGCTGCTTTCGAGATGAACTGCTCGTAGAAAGCCTTCAAAACTTGATGCGGCTCCAGCAGCGTGCGAACCTTGTCGTCCTCGCTGAATGATTTGAACGCGGCTTGTGCGATGTACAAATGTGGAGGGCCCACTTTCGTTTTCAGCTCCTGGATGGCGGTCACTTCGGCGTACTTTTTCCCTGCAGCCCTGGACGCAACGATGGGCGGGCACTCGACTGGGGCCACGACTGAGATCCACTCCGACGCCGCCAAGTCCCGCAACATCTGGGCGCGCATGCACGCCATCTTCAAGAGGATGCTGACCGCTTGCTGCAGGTCCTTGGCCTTCAAGGCCCCCTCCACTTTTGCCAGCTCGTCGTCGGCGTCGTCGGCCATCGTACCAACTCGCCCTTTTTTCCTTGCCTGACCCTCGCCGTCGGGTGGAGACTGCGCCTTTTCCTTGTGCCCCCGCAGCAGCTCGCCCAGGTTCATAGCGGCGGACATGCAGAAGCCGACGGCGAGACAGCGTCGGGGCAGGCAGCGAACAGTGGGAACGTATGTGAAGTTGAAGCGAATGAAGATCTCGAGCCAAGTAACTGCATACGGGGCAGGTGAGCAACGGGGGCTGGATGACTTCGCACTGCGTACACGAACTTCGACCCAGAGCGCACCTGTTGCGTTGATAGGACCGCATCACGTGGCGTGCCGCGTTCTCCCGAGAGGCTAGCGCTTGCAGACACCGAAAGCATTGGTTGGTGACAGTGAGCAAGCTAGCCTCATTCCTCACAGCGTGCACCCGACCTGCATGAAGCAGCAGTTTCTTCAATGACTCGAAACGCTCCCCGCAGACCCCGCCCACCGCCGACGACAGATTGCACTGAAAGGGCCCTGACCACTCCACCTCCACGCCCACGAGCTCCAGGGGGAACGGCGAGCCGAATCCAGGAGGAGGGACCGCCCTCGAGAAAGCTTTCGCCCTCAGGATCGAGAAATCGATGTCGACCCACTTGTCAAACTCTTGATCGAACAGGAGCTTCAAGAGAGGGTACCCAGACGGCAGCAAATCCTGGAGCTCCTCGGAGCCGTCGAAACCGATACGTAGATCGTCCAGAACCTGAAGGGCCCAGGGATTCGCATTTTCCGTCAGAGTCCAGGAAGACGTGATCACCTCCTCGTCGCCCAAACGCCCAAAAACACTTGCCCTCGCTTGTCGGTGTGCCTCAGGGTACCTACTCCAACTCTGATACCAACGCAACCGACGGACACGAAGTTCCTGCTCGCACGGAAGGATTCGCCAATGAGCACGCATACGATCCGCCGACCAGCGGCGCAGCTCCTGCTCGCCATGTTCCTCGAGGCCCAAGGTACCCATTCCCCTCCTCATCGCCTGCTGTAAAACCTGATCAGCTGCAGCACAAAAACTCTTATCTGGAATACGTGCCTCCATCCCCGAGAGCAGGGCCGACTGAACGAACGCGATCACCGCCATGCGCTTCACGCTCAAGACTGCAGGGTGCCTCAGAAACAAAGAGATCTTACCGAGCCCCGCCCGTCCCGCTTGAATGCGTTTCACTTTTTCCACCTGAAGGGATCCACTCGTGGTCAGCCACCCGCCCAAGACTCTCATGAACCTCCCCACCTTGCCTTTGGTTTTCACGGCCCCGCTGAAGATCAGACGACGTTGCCCGAGAGATCCAGGACTGACGATCTTTACGAGGGAGACTCTTTTGTCCGGGTTGAGGGCGACTCCGATCTGGGCCAAGGCCCGCTGTAAGTGATCGCTGCTGACACGCGCGAGCGCCAGCAGATGCTGAGCGTCGCCTCCCATACGCTGTGGAGGTGGACCAGGCCCAGGGATAACATGCTTCGTGATATCATCCGCGAACAATGACAAGCCCACGTCCGTGGAGACCCCATTCGGCTCGGTGACCAACGCCATCGAACACGAGGTCGTCCGCTGTCGAATTTCAAAGAACGGCTCCAACCCCTTGTGGTAGTAGTATGGAAAGCCCCGTGCAGCATTTGGATGGCCCATGAAGTCGCCCGTGCTGGGGCGCAAGCTGATGGTTTCGCCCGATGTGATAATCTGGCACGCACTCTGAATGATACGCTGATGTTGAAACCTGACGTCCTCCTCAAGATACAGCAGGGGCAGTGTGTCCAGCATGATGTCACGCGATACGCTGGAGAACGCGTTGGTGGCGTCTTCGTTGACGATCACGTGCGAGTAGCCCTGCCTCTGCAAACGCCAGGACGTGCAGCACAGCGTTAAAATCGCATCTTCCCGTCTGCGCTTTTTTGCAAAACCGTGACATACATATGGTAGTGCATCCCGATGCCGACGCGCTCTGACCCATAAGTGCGAATTCCACGCCTTGCCCAGCGGGCAGAATAAATGAATCCAACGTTGAATCTCAGCTCCCAACTTTCCGTTATGCTTGTCCAAACCGCAGCATGAGGATACATCAAAGATCAAAGGCGTGGACGCTGTCCGCCGAAAGCAAGCTAAGACATCTAAAAAACGCTCCGCAAACGCCGTCGAAGTCGCAGGTAGAAGATCCGCCCCCACTCCACCACCACGAAATTGCTCCCAGCAAGCGGGATCCAGGAGCAGGAGCCAGAGCTCCGAAGGTAAAGACCAAAACGGAGTCGCCCGTCTTTTTGGAGCCCGCCTCAGCTGCCGCACGATGCCCATCAAATCGGTACGAGCGTCCGCAATGTTCTCCAACTGCATGGCGTTGTAGCGAACCTCCTCGGAGACATCCCAACCGTCGGAGTGAGGTCTTTCGAAACGATCCAGCAATTCCTTTTGCAAGTCGCATGTCGCAGCACCGAGGCCACCCTCGACCGCAGGTCGGCACAGAAAAGCGGAGATCTCATGAGCTTCACTATTTTCAGACTTCAATACAAAATACTTCCTGTGCCGAGGACCTGCCCCACGCCTAGATAGTCGTCTGATAAGCCTCTGGACGTTGTAATGGTCGTGCGACTTCCATGCGTTGTTTAGCTCCAAGGTCAATGATGCCTCTCGTTCTTTCATGATCAGCTTCGAGAGGCGACGAATCCGATAAGTAGTTCGTGCCAGCTGAAGTTCCAGTTCCAAACGTTGCTCCAGACGGGCCTCCTCATAAGTACTCAGAATATCAGAACCGCCCAGACTCCCAATGTGTATGCCCTTGAACTTCTTCCGTGCTTGCAACAATTCTGAGCGCTCCCTTTCCAATGCTGATTTTTCTGCCTCCAGGTCGGATTTCTTTGAGAAGGTGTCCATCGCCGTAGTAGTCATCACGCTCACGATCGAGTTCCATACTTCATCAGGTGTCGCTCGAGCACACAGGCTGATCCATTCGTCCTCGGGGATCGACGTGACTGCCGAGTGTATGGCCTCGATCGCCTCCGTGCACGCGGTGCCCTGAGAGACGGAGCGCATAATCCTATCGAAATCCCATGGCGGCGTTCTGTCCACAAACTGAGCCTGAAAGTCGTGATTCACTTGCAGATAGATGGGTCTGTGCTCTCGATCGTCCAGTGTCGAAATAGGTTGAAGTCGTCGACCAGCTCC